ACCAGACAGTCCTGCTTCTCCCGTTTGAGTCTGTGCCCCTAAAGCCTCTCCCGGATCTGGAGCTCAGAGTCTGCGACTCCCTCCCGATTGAAAACGCCAACCGCGCACTCCGCACCTCAGAATTTGCCTTCAGCACTGCGCCTCCTCTGAGTGTCCGAATGCGTTACTCTTTCCTCCTAGTTGTAGGACTTCCACTCAGCCACCGTTCCTGTGGTTCTGGATGATGTCCCTTCCGTCTTTTAGTTTCACTTTTGAAATGGTTGTTCGAGGCGGCAAACTCCGGCGTTAACCTATGCCGCCATCTTGGTTCTCCTCTCTGAGCAATCATTTTTGAATTACCTACCAACTGTCTAAAAATGCAATTATATTCCTCACTTTTTAGAGGCAAATTTTTTTGATTTTTCAAATCCTGGGTGGAAGTCATAGCCTAGCTTCTTTAACTAAATATTACACGGAAATAGTTATTTTAGCTTACCAATTTTGCCAAATACCACATCTTGTCTCTGCTGTACTTTATTTGTCTTCGACAATGGTAGATTTCCTTACAAATAGAAAAAAAAAACTTTAGCGAGTTTATACCAAAATAACAATAATGGTTTTGCTCAGTGGTTGAACCAGGAGGTCACAGTTCGATTCCTGATTCCAGGTCAGGGCACATGCCTGGGTTGCAGCCTCAAAACCCAATGAAGGGTGTTCTCGCGCTCTCTCTCTCTCCCTCCCCCTTCCTCTCTAAAATCAATAAAAAGAAATTTTTAAATGACAGTAACATAGTGTTAATAAAGGTTTGACTTTCTATGCCTAATGAAAATTCTGTCATAAGAAATAAAAACATTATTAATATTTGCAGATTCTTTTTTCCTACACAAAATTATGTATTTTCCAAAGTCTCACTATATTAAAAAAAATTGCTAAGGGAAAAATAGAAATTACAAAATGACCAGTTTGTGCCAATGTTTGCTATATTTTTATCCAGAGGAATAGTAAAAGATTTAATGGAATTAAATGAAAGTATTTTTAAAACATTTAGTTGGCTAAAGGACAAAAAAAAAAAGAAATAACAAGAAAAAAAGTTTCCTATTAGTGAAGAGAACAACTTTGAAATGGACAAAAGAACTGTTTTCACCGGTATGCCAGGTGTTTGGTCAAGAGCACAGGTTCTAAAATCAAACCGCATGGGCTGGAATCCTAGCTCTACCATATACTAACTACAGAGCCCACGCTACTTAACCTCTCTCGGCCTAAATTCCTACTTCTTTAAAATGCAGATAATATTACCTACATCATAAAACTATAAGAATGAAATAAAATAACATGTTTAAAAAAGCACTTTACATTGCCTAGCACATGGTAAGATCTTAGTAAATGTTAGTTTTGTTACCTTCTATTTACAGTGGTAGGTACATCCTATTTAATTTTCTTAAATATATTTTTTATTGTTCATGGTATTACAGATATCTCCCATTTCCCCCCTCTGCCCCTGTTTAATTTTTTTAAATCAATAATCCATTAAGCAATTTATAATTCACAAAGCAATCATCAAATTTTATTTGATCTAACTCTATGGGTCGGGAGAGGAAACATTTTATAATCCTTTTACAAAGTGAAAACCAGAGAAATACAATGTCTGGTAGCTATATCTTCGAAGTTCCCCTTCTGACTCTAAAACCCGCATTGTTTCCACCACTATATGCTATTAACTCACCTATACAGGATATAATGTATAAAAGAGTTATTTGAATGAAGCAAAAGGAGGTCTAAATTATGAAACACGTAAGCCAGCAGCTACATACTGCCACTTTAAAAAATGTAGGAAACATTTGTCAAGGCAAGCAATAACAAGGAGACCTGAGAATTTTCTAACATTGACTCCTGCAGGAAATTTTCAAATGCCTCAGAAACAGCAGTTTTCTCAAGTGGCCATCTTTTAATCTGTAGCACATTTCATTTCAGTTGCAATAGAAGCTGACAGGCTGAAAACTGTAGCAATACCCTAATTACATTTTCAGCAATAAAGTGTTCTGGGGAGCACAGGAGAGGAAAGAAGAACTGTCGTGATTGATAATATTAATTTGCAAAAATTAATACACTCAAAAAAAGTATTTTATATAAAAACATTTCAATTCTTGGTACTCCATGGTGGGCTCTCTTTAAACCTGAATTGTAGATAATTATCTTCAAATTTTGTAAAAAAGATATTGTAATCCTGGCAAGGACATGGGAAAAGAGGACTCAGGAGTTTACAAAAAAGGGGAAAGTTATTCAATCCTCCTCTTCTAAAACTAAAAAGCTCTACATTTACCTTAGGCAGGTGCCATGCCTAGGATACTTTCTTAAGATAAACCAAGTGTTACTATAAATCTGGTTAAATATCACTGATATTAATTAACCATATGGTAAATGAGGTAAAGTTAGGATATAATGCACAAAATAGTTATCCAATGAAGTAAAAGTAAGTCTAAATTATGAAACATCAAAACCAGGAACTTTTAAAGATGATGAAAAAGTGTCACCTAATAAAAGTCCTTACAAGAGCCTATGTGAACCCACATTAATAATATATAAGCATGACTTTTTATCAATAAGATATGGCTCTTATAGAAATGGTTTCTTGCCGAAACCGGTTTGGCTCAGTGGATAGAGCGTCGGCCTGCGAACTGAAAGGTCCCAGGTTCGATTCCGGTCAAGGGCATGTACCTGGGTTGCGGGCACATCCCCAGTGGGAGATGTGCAGGAGGCAGCTGATCGATGTCTCTCTCTAATCGATGTTTCTAGCTCTCTATCTCTCTCCCTTCCTCTCTGTAAAAAATCAATAAAATATATTTTTTAAAAAAAGAAATGGTTTCTTAAACAGTTATGATCTACAGGGTGGGGCAAATAACACAATAATTAATAAATAAAACAAGAATAAGCTGTTTCAAATACTCACAACTATAAACCTACTTTGCCCCATCTGTAGTCTCACTATACTTTTAATTTACTTAAAATAGCTTTTATCAAAGATACTACAAAAGTAAACTTAATCCCAAATTAACAAAGTATGACTATTATAAGGAAACTGTATTAATTTCTTTCTGGCTCATTTTCTTTACCACGATGAACCCACATGTAAGATAAAGTCTACATAGGAAACTATATTGTTTGTAAATTTGTGCTAATTTAATTAGGCGGGTAGTCTTAAAATAACAGGAGTGACTGAAAACATGCCTAACTTAGTGACATTCTTTTTAACTTACTGCTATAGGATGTACTCAATACCCCATTCACTATGATTTGTTTAACTACATATTCCAATGCTGAAGATCAGAATGATGTAGAATGGGAAATATTATCTCTCCCTCTGTTAAATTACAAATAAAACTAATTTTTAAAATGTTTGCAGCCAGCAGATTGGTAAGCCTAAGGGACACTGCACATAATGTCACAGTGCATGAACTATGTGGCTAGATAAGCAAATTAACCCCTATTAATAAGGTAGGTATTTATGAAGGGCATTAATATTTCAGCCATAATAGGTATTAGTGATACACCAAAGTCCCAAAAGGATTACTCTCTCAAACAAAATCTGTACAACATAGAAAATCAAATTAGGTTTCTCAAAGTGCCTATATAAAATCAAGCCAAATATTTTCATACAGGCACTTGTATAATGAGTATAAATGATATTAAAAAAGTTAATCAAAATAGTTTCAGGAAATACAATATATAACAAATGATTGGAGTGGCATTGTTCTTCCTTTGCTAAAGTTAAGTAAATGACCTACAGTTAACTATTTTAATTTTGACATTTGATATGTATCCTGGAATACATTTTTTCTTAATAACCAAAACAGACCAATGCTACAAAATATAAAATTTTGCTCTTAGATTCTGGACCTGACAAATACTATTATGATTTATTTACTTCCAATTAATATATAAGTTCAAAGAGCTGAAGTAAGAAGAAAGCTCATTAATTCTAGGAAATATGTGATTTATGATAAACTGTGCAAATGTGTAACATTTTCTAAATTTCTTTTAATTACAAAATGGAGTCAATACTTAATAGTACAGTAATAGAGATGGAGGAGGGTATAGAGGGGATAAATGGTGATAAAATTAAAGAAAGAAAAATTCTTAATAGTATAGATTGTTACAAATCTAATTTTAAATTTTGATGGCATGATAAAATCTGAAAATTAAAAATGTGTTTAAACTATTAGCATCTTTTTCTCCTCAGATTTCCCAATCAGGTGGGAATTCTTTAAATCAATAAATTAACTCCCTTAAATGAGAAAATAAAAAGAAAACATAAAACTGTATTAATTCAGACCAATACTTAGCAACTGAACCTTAATAAAATGTATGTGGTCAAGTTCACATAAAAAATAAGCAAATAACATTATTTAGACCATATGGATTATCCAGGAGCCTTAAATCCCAAAGGACTTTAAACGATGTTTGCTGAACTGAATGATTTATAATTAACACAGTAATTCTATTTCTATAGTATTTACCAGTTTATTTACTTAAGGATTCCAATGTTCCCTTCTTGTTTATGCTATCACTACCTGCTTAAACTTTTTTTTTTATTTCAGAGAGGAAAGGAGAGGGAGAGAGAGAGAAAAACATCAATGAGGAGAGCGAATCACTGATTGGCTGGCTCCTACACACCCCACATTGGGAACTGAACCATGACCTCCTAGTTCATAGGTTGACACTCAACCACTGAGAGACACCGGCCAGGCATAACCTTTTAAACAGATGTAAATATATTCCACAGTAAATTCACATTAAGCTGATATCAGTCATATCTCAGATGAGTAATCACAAGCAATTTGAAGAGGGTAAAAGAATTCTAAGCAGCTAAAGATTAAGACAAAACTTGATTAAATTCAAACCTTATGTTCAAAAATTTGTGAATTATAAAACAACCAAGTGTGCCCATATTCAAATATAAAACATTGGAAAATCATATATTATTTAAATATTGGTCAATAGTTTAAGTCATTCTTGCCCACTCCTCATGCTCCATTATCAAGAATTCATTCGCAAACCCCTTAAAATAAAAAAATCAGTAAATCTCAAACTACTAGCTTAGAGTTAAGGCCCCTATCTGGGAGGTTAATAATGTAAGGCAAACAAAAAGGAACAACAAATACCATCTTTTAAAACTTCCAAAGAGATAAACCCAGTACATTTTCTTTATCAATTAAAGGATTATGCCAACTGCTGTATATTTTTTTCTTTTCTTAACATGGAATAATAAATCACTGCGGGCCACAGAAGAGTGCCTGAGCTTTATCAAAATTTAGAAATTGGTTCTATCACAAACTTACTGCTGGTCTCCGAGGTTCTCCAGGCAGTTGTGGAGGATAAACAATTTTGTTCTTCTTCTCCCATCTTCGAGAAATGCCAAGAGAAGCACTTGTGTGGATGTGTGATTGGGGTAAAACACTCTGAGATGGAAGAAGCCTGTAAAACAACAGACACTTAGCATCTTCTTGCAGAGCCTACATGTCTTCTGAGCCATATCGGTTCCATTTTGACAGAAACTATTTAAGGATCACAAACGGAAACATTCCAGACATATTCATTAATAGAGACTGCTTTTACATAAAAAAGCTCCAAGAGCTAGTTTATCAAAGGCTAGGAAGAATGAAAGTTAATAATTTGAATAAAGTCAAATAATAAATATTCACCCAAGATCTCTTGCTCTCACTGACCAATAAATATGACTGTATTATAAGGCAGCCCAGTCCTAAAGCAGATTTAAAGACATAATGCATTGCTGACCTGATGTGTAGATTTCCTCAACTTTGTTGGGTAAGAAGACAACATTATTTTATAAACACTAAGAAATTAACGGATAAAGTTGGCATGATGTGTCTCCTGATAAAAGAACATGCCACCCGCCATCCATGAAGTAGTCTTTCCACAAAATTAACCTAAACTGATAAAGCCTCTAGATTCAATACAGGAAATACATAGAGAGATCATATCAAACAACATCCAGAGAATGCACTCAGCAAAATCCAAGCTGTACAAAACGCTGCAAGACAAACAACGCATTTTCTTCAATAGATAAACTCTAAGGGGAAAAAGAGAGCTGAATTAAGAGCCTACATATTAAAGATGTAATAGAAACAATTAATTTCAATGCGTGGACTATTATTTCAAAAATATGACAGCTACTTAACCATTATTGGAAATTTAAACATTAAATGGACATTTCATTCTTAAAGAGATATGTAGTGAAATATTTGTGGATGAAATAATATAGTGGCTAAGATAGTGATGGCAAACCTTTTGAGCTCGGCATGTCAGCATTTTGAAAAACTCTAACTTAACTCTGGTGCCGTGTCACATAGAGAAATTTTTTGATATTTGCAACCACAGTAAAACAAAGATTTATATTTTTGATATTTATTTTATATATTTAAATGCCATTTAACAAAGAAAAATCAACCAAAAAAATGAGTTCACGTGTCACCTCTGACACGCTTGTCATAGGTTCGCCATCACTGGACTAAGATCTGTTTCAAAATATGATGGGCGAGAGTAGAGGCTATAGATAAAACAAGATTAGCCACGTGTTAATAACTGCTGAAGTTGGGTGATGGGTTCATCATATTGTCTACTTTTGTGTATATCTGGATATATCCAAGTAGCACAACAAACTTAGATGTTTCCCTGCTGCCTGTAGTATAGAGTCCCACATTATAAGGCCTTTTATAACTTAACCCCAAACAGGCCTTTCAGCTTATCCACTTTATGGCCTAGCCACAGAGACATGTTTTGTTCCCTGAATAAGGCACACACTTTCATATCTCTACACTTCTGTTAATATTGTTTTCTCCTCCCTGATCGCCTGAGAAATGCTTATCCTGTTTAAAGTTCCACCTCAAAAGTTACTTAGTCCATCTCCCAGACAACCGTTCCCTCAATGATCTCCGTACCTGGCTCTTGCCAGCCACTCAGCAAGGAGCTGGACTACTGTACTGTGGTACAATGAGTTCCTGCAGTAAGGAATAGATTTGAGCATCGAGGGCAAGTCTGGCATCCTTGGTGTTCCAGCACCAAGGACAACACCTGGCCTAGGGATAATGAGTAAATATTTAACCCAGACTTCCATATTCAAAGTTGTTGTACATCAGCAGATTCTCACACAATACATTTAGGTTCCAACGTTTTACATGAAAAGTACAAAAGTAGGATACATGATGTTAGAGGGCAGGATTTCCTAATGAAACTATAAGCCAGGTGATGAGGGCAGAGACTATGGAGTCATGCAGACCTGGGTCTAAATTCTAACTCTAATTGACTAAGAGAATGGCTTTGGGGAAGCCACATAACTTTCTAGATCTCTGGTTTCTCAACAGTAAAAGGACTAATAATAGTAATTACTTCGTAGGCTTCTTCAGTAGCTCAAATGAGATATTGTAAGTTAAATACTTAACCTGACACCTCATAGGGCTCAATAAATGGTAGGTATTATTTTTAGATTGAGGAGAATACCTACCTCACTTGGTTGTTGGTAAATTAGTAATTAATGTGCTGTATCTTACAGTATCAAGGAGATGATAAACACTGATAGCTAGTATTAATTTTAAATTAGACCCTCTGAGCAGTTAATTCTTTCCTGTTCTCTGAAAAAATAAATCCCGTGAACTGTAAACTTCATATCACACCCTTTCAAATCTTCTCACGTTTAAGTCATATCATTTATGTTTCTACAAAGTTGTAATTAACTATGGGCACACGAAGTTTGTCACCTCTTTGGGCTTCATTTTCTTTATCTATGAAAAGAGCAACTGGACTATGTCATCTCTAGGGTCTCTCCAAACCTTAATTCTGCTTCCAATCCAAATATACATAGTAAATATACATCTGGTCATTTAGATGACCAAAATAAATTAAACACATTATAAATTAATAATGACAAAGTTTTCTGAATACCTACAATACTTTCAGGACTCAAATGGTTCATAAGATGAATTATCAAGTAAAAACAAAACTACTGTAATCAAATTAAATCATTATTCCAAATTGGGTACTAATTCAGAAGTGTATTAAATCCAAAGTTCTTATGTGCCCTCTCCTGGCCAGCTGTTAGAATAACACTAAATCAAAAAACTAAAATGTAATCATAAGGTAGAATTGAAAATAAAACTAATTCAAAATTGAAGCTTTTATAACACCTTTTTATGTGAGAAAGCCTATGAAGGGTCACTTGAAAAAACAAACTCAAGAAAAGGAAGTTGCTGGAATTAAAAACAATGGCATAGGTTATTGTTATTGTTTTCCAACAAACATTCATTTTTTTAAAATTGATTTTAGAGAGAAACATCGATGTGATAGAGAATCATCAATCAATTGCCTTCTGTACAAACCCAGACCAGGGACTGAAGCTGGGTATATGCCCTGACTGGAAATCAAACCAACAACTTTTCAGTGTACGGGATCACGCTCCAACCGAGCTATACGGCCAGGGCAAACATTAAATTTTAAGTTTGCCTGGAGGTCCAGTTTACTGTTAGCATTCTAAAGAATCAAAGTAAGCTAAATCTTTTTTTTAACATGTTTTTACTATTGATTTTAGAGAGAGAGGAAGAGGAAGAGAGAGAAACATGGATGTGGAGAGTAACATAGATCAGCTGCCTACTGCATGAGGGACCCTGGGGATTGAGCCCTAAACCCAGGCATGTGCCCTAACTGGGAATTGAACCTGTGACCTCTGTGACCTCTCAGTGCATGGGACTGTGCTCAACCAACTGAGCCACACCAGCTAGGACTGTTAAACCTTTTTTTTTTTTAACCAGTAAAGGACACCTAGAATCAACTTTTATCATTTTGAAATTCAAGTATCATCACTAACAATAGCTTTTCATTTACTAGGAATCCGAAATCCTGTTAACTTCACTGTAAGTAGGTAAACCACTCTCCAGAGTGCTTGTACACACAACATGCACACAGGTGGCCCGCAGTAAGGTGAGATGCCAGAGGCACGCAGAAAGCAGGTGGCAGACTAAAACTGGCACATGAAGCATTTCCTTACTCTCATGATTCTGGTGTTTCCTGTCTACCGATACTCAAGGATTACATTTAAGTGTCACTTTTTAAAGTCTACCCACATTCTTTAGGCATTGGGGAGTAGTAGATAAAAGCCAAACTTTAGAATTAAGAGTTAATTCCGATAAGACAGAGACTCTGAAACTTTCCAAAGTCACAATTGAAAGAACTAATACCTCCTATTTATTATTCAAAGTTCATTTTGAAATTCAGAACAAGATATACCCAAGTCCCAAGCGAAGATAATACTGGCCTCAGGCTCAATCTTGATAATATCATTCTATATGCATCAAGGAAAAAATTCTTTGTTCCAAATTTACTTCTGATAACATTAAATTAATCCTGCACTTGAGACTGAATAATAAGAACTGCCTCCCCCTTGCCTCATTTAAAATCTAAAATAAAGGGCTGAAGTGATATGCATATTCTCATAACTCAATATAATCTTACTTTGTCAAAGTCAAGGACAATCAAACAAGGAAACAGCTTAGCAAACGAAAAAAGTAAAATTCCAGCAACTTTCCAAGTTTTCCAACCTCTGCACTACTGACATGTTGGGCCTTTGTTGTGGAGGGCTGTCCTGTGCCTTATAGGATGTACAGTAGCATCCCTCACCTCTACCCACCAGATGCCAGTAACAACCCTGCCTCAGCTGTAAGAAACAAAAATGTCTCCAGAAACTGACAAATGTCCCCTGGGTGGCAAAACTACCCGCAGTAGAAAGAAACTATTAGCTAAAGTGACAGTCAAAAACAAACAAACAAACAGTAATTCTTGCAGAACATGAGCTCTCTGTTCCAAAAGGTTCCTGTTACTATGTCATACATATGTAGGTGGTTAATAAGCCAGATTTTCTATGTAAGCCAAGGTTAGCTAAATGCCTAAATTTTACATTCTTCAACCGAGAATATGTCTTTTAGGTTTTTTAAATTTATTTTAGAGAGAGAGAGAGAAAAAGGGAGAGGGAAGGAGGGAGAGAAACATTGATGTGAGAGATAAATATCAATCAGCTGCTTCCCATACACACTCTGACTGGGACTCGAACCTGCAACCTGGGTATGTGCCCTCACCTGTTATTGAACCTTGGTCTTTCAGTGTACGAGACGATGCTCCAACCAACTGAGCCACACTGGCCAGGCTAAATTTTATATATATATATTTTTTAAATATATTTTATTGATTTTTTTAGAGAGATGAAGGGAGAGGGATAGAGAGTTAGAAACCGATGAGAGACAAACATCGATCAGCTGCCTCCTGCACACCCCATACTCCCCAGTATAAAGAGAGAGGGAGAGGGAGATAGAAACATCAATTTTTACATTTTTATTCATAAACCCCAAGTGGACCCTGAAGGCTGCCTGGCATTCCTATTTTATTTTCCTTGTCCATTTCATCTCCTAGCCCAGTGATGGTGATCCTTTTGAGCTCGGCATGTCAGCATTTTAAAAAACCCTAACTTAACTCTGGTGCCATGTCACATAAAGAAATTTTTTGATATTTGCAACAATAGTAAAACACAGATTTATATTTTTGATATTTATTTTATATATTTAAATGCCATTTAACAAAGAAAAACCAACCAAAAGAATGAGTTTGCGTGTCACCTCTGACACACGTGTCATAGGTTCGCCATCACTGTCGTAGCCCCTACAAACAAATATCATACCTTTTCTTGCTAGTCAAGCCTCCCATATCACCTCTCTCACTCTCAATCTCAACTGTTAACAATGCTTATTTAGCTAAGAAAAAGCAAACAATTGGAAGATAATTTCCACAAGCTCCCACCACCTAATCCATATACCTAGCCACATAGCTTCTCTCGTTATTATGCATGAAATGTCTAGGCCCTAGCTAGTACCACTCTCATCCCTTCTCCCTAGATCCCATTCCTTCCCACTATTCAAGTACATTGCTCAGGCATTTCTTTCTTCCCTCTTTCTATCAGCAATGTTTTCATCTCTAGTGGATCATTCCCATCAGCAAACAAATAAACTCAAATAGTCTCCCAACTTAAAACCAACCCTCCCTAACCAAGTCCTCTAACTACAGCCGCAAAGCTCTACTGTGTACTGCACTCGTCATGATTGTGTCCTCATTGCAGAGTGAGCACTACGGCATCTCACGCATCACAAACAGATGCTTGTGTTTAGGTGTGATGTCCCAGTGCAGATTCCTAGCTTGAGGACTATTAAATTACAAACAACTATGACTATAATATGTGTTTTTCTAGGAAGATGCTTTGTGGCTTTCCTCATACTCTCAAAGGGGCCTGTGACTCTAATTAAGAAACATTGTCTTAAAAAGCAAGAAACCACAATCTCTCAGATCACAAGGTAAGATTGAATTAAGAGAGCACAAAATCAATGTCCTTGTCAAATCTTGCTGGTCATGCAATCAGAACACTTGAAAGCAGAGATGAATAAAAACCAGAGATATTTCCTAAACCACCAAAATGTACTCTGATCAGAAAATTTACAATCAGATTTAGAGATACTTTCTAAACCACCAAAATGTACTCTTCACTTTAAACTTAAGTCACCTCTTCCCAAAAAACTTCCCTGACAAACCTCTTCTGTGCCCATCACTCTGTCCCTCCATAGAAAGACAGGGCACTATTTAAAGCCAGAGGATTTTTTGTTTAGAACCTAGACTTGCCATGTATTAACTGTATAACCTTCAGTAGGTCACAAAATTTCTCAAATGCATCCAGCAGTGAAATGGGAGACTCGGAATTCAAAGGTTGGAAAATGTCCGTTTGCAACCAAATACAGCCTATGGAAAGGTTTCATCTGGTCTTAGCCCAGTTCAAAGCCTTTAGATGAGGAATGCACTCTAAATTGACACAGGCCCTAACACACTCTCTCATTTTACAAAAACCACTTCTCCCAATTAATTTCTTTCTAGCACCTATATGCAATTAGTTCCCAAACACTGAATTAGATGATCCCTAAGATTTTACAGTTATCACGGGCAGTATTTATACCTTTTCCACTTAGTTTTCATCTGACCATTTCCCCATTAGAAAGTCCAGAATAGGGATTCATAGAATTACATAATTTCAGATCTGGAAAGAGTCTTACGAGATTATCTAGAAAATTCCAACCATCTTGTATGACACTGATGAAAAGACTGAAGCCAAACTAAGTTATTTGGCTCAGATCTTCCCAATATAAATCACTGCCGGACAATTTAAATCAACAAACATTAACAAAGTCTTTACTTTGTTCAGGACCCAATGCTGGAGCTACAGAGAAACAAGAACTGACCCTATCTGTCCAGGGTTCACACCTAGTAAAGGGCCAGACACATGCACATGAAGTGACTACTCAAGGCACACACGCTACAAGGAAGGAGGAATTAATGCCTTTCATTTTTAGTGAGACCCGAGAAAAGCTTCTGAAGGTGAAACATGTGAATTGGGGGTTAAATACCAAGTAGGACTGCTATTGAAGACAGGAAGTGAGGGCACAGCATGAAAAAGCCAAGAGGCAAGTGTATGCACAACATATTCAGAAGATAGTAAGTTAATCAGCATGGCTGTAGTAGAGAGAAGGAACCTAAGAAAGCAAAGTGTAGGCCAACCCTAAGGGCTGTGCCCCCTATTTTCTTTGTTAGCTCTCCTCTTCATCCTCTTGAACCAAGAGCCTAGGATGGAGCAAAAAACAAAACAAAACAAACAACAACAAAAAAAGGAACTCAGTAATCCTATATAATGAAAAGCTAATATGCAAATCAACCAAATGGCAGAACAACCTGTCGCTATGACACACACTGACCACCCGGGGGCAGACGCTCAACGCAGGAGCTGTTCCCCTGGTGGTCAGTGCGCTCCCACAGGGGAGCACTGCTCAGCCAGAAGCTGCGCTCACAGCTGGCAAGCTCAGTGGCGGTGGAAGGAGCCTCTCCCCCTTGCTGCAGTGCTAAGGATGTCCAACTGACAGCCCCCAAAGGCTCCGGGACTGTGAGAGGGCACAGGCTGGGCTAAGGGACCCCTCCTACAGTGCACAAAATTTGTGCACCGGGCCTCTAGTCATTTATAATAATAAAAGCAGCAATGGTAGTTAACATTTAGGGTGGATTATTATATAACATGCACTGTCCTAAACATTTCATATACCGTATTTGCCGGCGTATAAGACGATTTTTTGGCCCTGAAAAATATGCCTCCAAGTGGGGGGTCGTCTTATACGCCGGGTACACTTCAGATAGACTGCCCATAGTGCTTGCCCCGTGCCATAGTGGCCTCCCGATGCCCGCCCACTTCATTCCACATACCGTTCAGGCATCAGCAGAGCTGCTGGGTGTATGCTCGGCTGTTATGCGATTTTGCTGTTATGCGATTTT